GTATTCCGTCCAGTTTTCTGCGCTGGGGTTGCTTTTATACGTGCGCCATGCCCGATCCCTTAGAGTCATGCATTTTCGCGTCCGGCTTCGCAAGAATGATTTCGCTGTGCGGGGATGTTAGGAAACTTTTGGTGTTGAGGCTTCTATGACTAGTGACGTGATGGTGTTCGCAAATGTCTCCCAGGCTAGTTCTGGGGTGCAGTTAGCTAGAAACGTCCAACTGGTATTCTCAACTAAGGCAGACAGAACGTGGTAATGGATAACAGATTGCCTCGTTTCGAGCTCCGCAGCTGGATATTTGGCGTAGCAGATGTAATCGAACTGCAAAGTCACGTGATCGCTACGGCCCAAAGGACTGCACACCTTTAGTCCATCGACCATGAGCTCTTCGTTAGTGAGCACTAGATCTAATATCGATGGATTGTTTCCTGTTCTGAACCTGGTTGGAACGGTGACGTGGCTATACATGAAGGTGCTAGAGAGTAGCTCTTGCAAATATGCCTTGAACACCTCTGTCTCGGATGCTGGATTTTCCAAGTCATGGGTGTTGAAATCTCCTGCAACGAGGATGTGGCTGTACTTCTGATTAAGCACGGAGCGAAAAGCGGAGATAAATCTGTTGTCCCTTTCCGGAGTGGATTTCGGTGGTCGGTAAACCACAGAGAGAAGGCATACGTCGTTGCGTTCCAACCACAGTTTACACCAAAGGACGTCGGTGACACAAGTCTGGGGATCGTCTATGAGCTCACAACGAAGGTTCGTTCGGAAATAAATGAGCACGACACCGCCCTTGCCCGTTCTGTCGTTCCGGAGAAGTGACATACCCGGTATGGCAATCTCAGCGTCTGTGATTTCGCCGCTCAGCCAGGTTTCGGTGATCATTATGATGTCTCGAGGCTCCGAAGCCAAACGGTGACGGAGTTCTACCAACTTACTTATGAGGCCTTGTGCATTAGTATACATGCAGGATAGTGCTTTTGTAACCAAGAGTGAGCTAGCACAGGTTGTGGTAGAAATGGAGTTTGTGCCGACCGTTAACGGGTCGGCCATTAACCGTTTTTTTTGTGGTGACGTTTGCCTTTGAGTTTGCTTTCGGTTAGACGACTGATCGCGGCCTTCCGGGCCCTGCTGGTCCCCGGTGTTCAGCCGTGTTTCGTGAGATATTGCGGTTGTTGATAAATCCATGCCTTCACAAAGTTGCATGAGTGGATGGTTCAACAATTTGATCGCTCCCCGTGAGTCGTTGGTAATCCGTGGCAGCGTACCTGATGCCTTTAACCGAATTTCAGCTGGCAGCTTCATGCGGAATTTGGACCAGTTTTCCAAGGCGAGCGGTAACATAAACTCAGATTGAAGCACCACCTTCATAAGTCTGGGACCGTTCCCTTTGTAGTTGGGTGAAAATGGAATCCTGGTCAACCGCTTAGCGATGATATTATTGAGGGAGATTTCGTGGCGGATGTAACTCCATTGCTCCCGGTCATGTGCATCCGCTGCATCAGAGGTTGAGTTTTTGAGCTCAGGAACCCCGTACACAATTATCGTCCGTTTCGCCTCGGCTTTACGAACTTCTTCACGGTTGCTCATCTTTTTCGGACGTTCGTTCCAGGGGATATCAGGAAGTATACGCGCCTCGAGTGATGAATGACAAAGCCTGTTGGACGATAGTAGAACTGCCTCTGTGTCCTTGATGGAGTTTAGTGTCACCCGGAGAAGTCGGGGTTCACCGTAGTGCGCTGAATTTGGATGACGTGTGACTCGTCTCAGCATTGCAGGTTCAACCGAAATGCCAATCGCAGTACATATAGACTTCCACTGATTACGATCATCCAACAGCTTCCCCTTTATTGTACTCGCCTGTGATTCAGGAACATTTGTACACACAACGATTAACGCGCCTTGGCTCCTTGCGTTGGATGCAGATTTGCCATGACTTAAAGACACGGTGTTAAACGGATTGTTTGGTTGTTGGAGTCTGGTCAACTTACTGTTGCTTGGTGAGGCCACCGGAGTCAGAGGTAATTTAGCCGGTGTATGCATTGAGGCGACTGAGGCGTACGACGCCCGACTTTTCTCTACGGCGGAAGAGGTTTGCCCCGGAGCTTCCGCGGTTGCTGTTGAATGGAGGTGGGGCGTGTGACTCAAAGGTGTGGACATCAGTACTCTGGATGTTCGTCCGCTTTTGGGAGTTGAGTGAAGCAAGGGATTTGGAGAAACTGAGGCTGCAGCGCGACTTGAGCGTCTAGCCCTTTTTTCGGCCTCGAGGTGGAGCTTTCTTTGACCGACAGTGGTACCATCATGGCCATATTCGCGGCCGGTGGTGCAAGCCTGGCGTTCAACAAATAAGCGATTGTCGCATTCAAAGTATCGCATCTTTCCATGAGTGCACATAAACAACCGACCACTGGAGTTAACTGGCAAGTTGGACAAAACCAAAATGCGTCAGTAGCCTGGTTTATTTGCCTTGCTTCTTGGGCGGACTTTCCTATACAGCTCGGGTGGAACGAGCCACTGCAGTTTCGGCACGTTATACCCATTTTAAGGGCTTTGCCGCAATTAGCTGAAGAGCAGATACGTCATTGCATGATATTCGGCATAGTTGTTGTATTTTTTTCAAGCACGAGGACAAGCAAGATATCGATCACAAATTCCAAAATGACGGGCACAGCTGTACATCACTGAGATCTCCGAACATATCAAGCGGAATTCCACGAAACTTTCACGGATTGATGAACGCACGAAACTAAAAAGTTTGGCGCACAACTACCACAGCAACACACGTAAAATACAGTAATTCCAGAGAAAAAGCAGGATCCAGCGCGTGGTAGCAGAAAATTCCGCGGCGTCCGTGGGTACAGCCAGGTGGGGATGTATAGGAGGATAAGCAGTTAGTGTACAACAAAATACCTCTGACAATTGTGTTCAAATGTACCAGAGCCCACGAGCGAGTCGTTAAAAGGTAGGCAAGTGGAAGGACAAAACCGCTGGGCAGAGATATGCTGTGCTCTCAAAATTAACGTTCCTCCAACTAGTCTTACGCGCATTTCCCGAAATTCATCCTCGCCGCATTTAGGACAACCTCGGTTATTACGAGTAACATTTGGTAACCCACGCGACCTGGAGGATGTGCTCCTGACAGGCCACAAGCTAACGAATTCCTCTCTCAGCGCCCGCATTTTCCCAGATAAACCATGGATAGAACGGCAAAAAATGGAAATCCGACCCAGTCGCGTCAGGGCATGATGCGACGAAGAAAGTAGTGCTGGTCCACAGTGTTCCAGAACTCAAGCATGGCGATATAAATGAACATCAGAAGCCCGATATAGAAGAGTGGAGGTACATAACGGAGCTCTACAATATACAAATATCGTGACTTTCGATGTCACCCGTCTAGCGGCCTCCTTAAACTATCAGCGTAACGGGCCCAAAATTTTGAAAGTCACCGTGGCCACACCAGAGATGGTATCAACGGTCGTCCAAGCGTGGCACGACAACAGAAAACGTGGGCCACCTGAAGTACGTTTAAGACCGTTCCTAAACAAAGTACGGGCCACAGATACAGACGAACCGGACTCGGTTGTTCCTAACTCAGGTCAGACAAATGTGCAAACGCCTCTGACAAAAAACGTACGCAGACCGGCACAATCCGTGCCGGTCAACCACAACGAACCGAGCTCCTAATGTGTTAACAGATACAGTGCTGCTACACAAACGCTCAGGGGCTCAACTCTAAGCTACCTGAATTGCGCCATCGACATAACACAATCAGTTGGGATATCATAGCTGTAACTGAAACCTGGCTCTCCAATGACATGCTCGACACGGAAATCGAAACCAGTGATATGTCAGTTATTCGCAATGCTCGTCCATCTCGCGGTGGCGGCGTTGCTCTGTACATTTGGAATTGTCTGCGATGTGAGACTATTAACGAACGTCACCTTGCTGTCTCCGACGCTTTGTTTTGCCGAATGCAGCTAAATGGCCGAGGTGGTGAACCTTCGAAGAAGACGTGGGATGCTTGTCTGTTGGCAGTTGTCTACAGGCCACCGAACTCCACCGCAGACCGAGATGACATTCTGTTAAACGCGCTTCATTATGCAGTTTCTCAAAAGTACTCACATTGTCTAATCATGGGCGATTTTAATGTACCCTCAATTGTCTCAGCGACTTCTAGTGGTCCTTACTTCAAATCAAAGATTCTCGAGTTTATGGATACAGCAGCTCTGTACAACCACGTGCACTTTTGCCAAAGGAGAACCAGGATATTCATGAATTCGTCCTGCAACCTCAGACTCAAGTCGCTCGCTGCAATTCTGACAACCAGTTGCATATCCAACCTCGAGATCGCTTGGTCGCGGTAATCAACCATTCCAACCTGCAACATAAATTAGTAGTTACTGTCGATCCAAGTTTGCAATCCGTCAGGTCATTCTGCGAGCAATTTCAACATGTGAGGGCGACAGTGAGAGAAAAAGCTGCCATGTTATACAATTCTGGAAGTAAGATGCAACCTGGTAAGCAACAGTCGAGGAAATTTAGAAAGCCTGCCACTCACAATGACATACGTACGAAAAGTAGGACTTCTCCTGGAAACCGTTGGAACAACTGTACTCAGGGAATAACTCATTTAACAGACACTTAGATCTAGCTAGTGCCTATGAAGCACTGAGGGTCAAACCAATACTCCGCCCCAGATCAACAGGACAAAGGAACGTCATTGAGGCGGACTCTAGCCAACAATACGCAAGAGCTAACTACACGATCAGCTCAAGTGAACCAGTCGACTCCTGACGTTCGAATCAAGTGATCAATAATCACTTAGATCTGCAAGTGGCCCGCATACATCTCACTGATGATGTCGCCTAGCCTGAAGATGAAACGTTTGCAGCCAAATCAGACAGCGCGGAGAACACCCGCATACCCACAACTGTATCTTTTGGGTATAAATATTCTCTACTAACTTGTAAGTTCTGCAATTCCAAGTGTTATAAGTGTGGAAGATTGGTCATCTTCAACCCTTTTATCGGAGTAGAAGTGTTTGTTCGGTACAAGAAGCATCAGATGAGCAACATCTCTCACATGTGCTCCAGTCCATTGCTCTTGCTGTGTGTTCCCCTGTTCAGTATGCCCAGAGTACCAAACATTTTGTTATCAATAAGGTATCATAACATTCCTTCATTATAGATACCGATAGTGTAGAGTCCGGAGTTCTATCTTAAATGTCTAACCCCCGACTTTCGACTAAGACCAACTACTGTTTCTGTTAGAGGGATTACTGAACATCCAATTTCTATCCTTGGTTCTTGTGAATTATTTCTTTCAAATGGTCAGTCTAATCCGATCAAATGTACATTTCTTGTCATAGAATCTGATCCATTCATCACAGGCCTAAAGAGCACGAAAGTTTTAAATATTTTGGTTCTCAAAGTTTTCTGACACTTCAATCTAAATTCGTTCGCTTGTCAGAAAATGTTCCTTTGCCTCAGGTGACTTGCGTGTTGAACCTGTCACATTTGACATTCAGGGCATTCCGGTATTCATAAAGAGACGAACCGTTCCATACGGTCTTAGGGAGCCTGTGCTGAAAGCATTAGACCACATGGCTGAAACAGGCATACTTTTGCCAGTTCATACTTTCGCTTGGGCCACACCAATCCTTAATCCACGCAAAAGTAATTGTAAGACTCTCAGAATTTGTGGCGACTACCGCGCTACACTGAACAAGTGCCTGTTACAAAGGTGATGCCCCACTGCTGAGCCCGAGGATATTCTGCAACATTTGAGCGGATCCAAGCTAGACTTGAAAAATGCTTGCTCGCAAATTCCTCCTGATGAACAGTCTAGTGCTCTCACCATCATTAATACGCCAGCTGGTCTATTTCGCTACAATTAGTTGCCATTTGGACGCAGTGTGTCCCCGTCAATTTTCTAAATTGTCATGAATTCTGTGACAGCCTGCCTGACTGTATTTCAGTATACCAAGATGGTCATTGTGCATGCGCTTACGAAATCCATTCATGATGAGAGAATTTGTGCACTGTTGGAGGAATTTGGTTTATTTAATGTGACCGTTAGCTCATCGAAGTGCATTTTTGGTACAACGAACTATCCTGTCTTGGTTATCAAGTTGACGAAAGTGGTTTGCGCCCTGATCCTGCTCGTTTTTCGCCGCTTTTCAAAACATCTACTCCAAAGAATTTAGACGAATTTCGTTCACTGATGGGCTCATTGCAGTATTACTCGAGATTTATTCCCAATTTGCTACAAAGAGCCGCTGTTTTAACTACAATCTATGAAAACCTTTGCTTAGTTTCAAACTCATGGGGAAGCATTGCTTAATATGCTTCGCTTTCTGTCCACGGATGCTGTTTTACGTCCGTTTTCACCGAAATTATCCTCGACGGTAATTGCAGATGCATCACCCACTGGTGTCGGGGCAGTACCAGAGCAAAATGTGCATCCCGTATTGTGTTTCCAGACATGTCAGCCCAGCTGAACCTGGATACGCACAAACAAGGAGAGAAGCTCTTGCAGTGCATTAGGCAATCTTACGTCTACACAAATAAATCTTTGGTATATATTGTACAACCGTTACTGACAAGGAGGCCTGAAGTTCATTTTTCATCCCCATAATTCTTTGTCTAATTCATCCCCAGCAATGGTAAAGCGTTTGAGCATAACGCTTGTAGCATATTCGTATGACATACAGCACTGTGGTGTTAAGCATATGCCGCACGTTGATTATTTATCACGATATGCTACTTCTGATGAAATTGGGACCTCAGAGTGCCTTTTAATCCAACCACTTCCGGTAAACCAATCCCAGCTGGTCTGTGATACAAGTAAGTAATATCAGTATGTTTTGTCATCGCCATGAGGCTGGACCTTACCGTGGTGCGATGGCTTGTGTGCTGCAGCGGTCCATTGAGCTATGCTGGGTGGTGCTTTTGCACCTTTAGAGTCACTCATACCAGATTAGTCAATGGTTAGAGGCCAGACAAACTCAGCCTCCTGGTCCTCCATGTTGGGGGTTGGAATGAGGGTAGCACCTTATTCATTAAAACGGACTCCTTGTAGCCTACCGCCAAACCCACTGCATTGCGGTCAGGTTTTTGAACCAAACGCTTTGGTTGATAACCCTAATCCTTCTCTGGTCTTGGCCTGGGCAACCCACGCCTGGGCCTGCCCACGCAATACACTGAATCTTTCCTCAAACAATTTCTTGATGCTCTGGCCACCGCAGGGGATAATCAACGGTGCCCTATCTGCTGCATCGAGCAGAGTGGATAGGGGTTTGGATGCAACTGCTCAAACCTTCTCCTCTTCTTATTCCCCCTCTTACCCTTTTTCGCTCTTACCGTCCCGTTCCAACTTCACTTATATCCCTCCAGTTTTAAACCCCCCGATTCTTTGCCTTCCCCCAACATGCTTTTCTAGGCATTTATATTCTAATTTCAAGTCACATGTGAACGCGGAGCGTCAATCCTCTCCTGTTGACAAGCCCATATCCAACCAAGCGGTCCATTCCAGTTCATCGGCTTCCATTTGGAGCCCTCGATCCTCCTTCAGATTGGCATGCCTCAATGTACGCACATCACTACAAATCGGTCAACAAGCAGCACTTGCCCGAACATTGGGGACCCTCTCGATAGATATCTGCTGCTTATCAGAGACCTGCCTGCAAGACTCGAGTTCTGTGCTCACTCTGCGATGCACTTCAGGTGACACCAGCAGTGTTTTCTCATTGCGCCTATCCGGTGACGATGCAGCTTCGAGCACCGGCCAAACCGGTGTTGGTATTGCCCTGAGTCCTCGGGCTGAAGCTGCTCTGGTTGATTGGATTCCAATCAGTAGCCGGATGTGTGCAGTCCTATTGGCTGGCTCGTTCAAAGCTTCGAGGTCACGCGGGACTAATAGGTGTCTATTCATCATCGCTGTCCACAAAATGTAACGAGGATTCGGTAAAGAACGACTTCTATCATCAACTGAACGAGCTCCCTGGCCACAGAAGAAGCACGGACAATGTTGTGCTCGTTGAGGATCTGAACGCGCAAGTTGGAAAGTTGTCCACTGATGAGATGCATCTGGGCGGTTAGCACGGTGTAGGCTCCCGTAATGATAACGGTGAGCGGTTCCTCCTTGTGTGTGATGATGGCCGCTTATTTTCTGCGAGCACTAACTTCCGACACAGCACCCGCCGGAGGATGACTTGGCGCCCACCAGCCTCGAGCCAGCTATGGACGCAAATCGACCACATTGCTATCAGTTCCCGCTGGAGAGGCTGCATCCAGAACTGTCGCTCGATTTGGAGCACATGTGTGGACACCGACCATGCACTTGTATGTGCTGGCATGCGGATGCGTTTTGGCGGACGCCCACGACGACGCTGTGAGCGCACTGACACCAGCCAACTGACAAAGCCAGCTGTTCTGAATGCGTATCGAAGTACGCTGACTTGCGAGTTGGATAAACGCTCACTGGGGACAATTGATGGTCACTGGTCACATGTTCACCAGACCTTACTATCAGCAGGAAAATCCTCATGTGGTATGTCTAATAGCCAACATGGATATTGGGTCTCTTCTCGGTCTCTGGAACTTATCGACGCTTACCGGCATATCGCGGCTGGAAGCGAACACAATGCGCCTAGCAAAGAGCTCCGGGAAAGACTCCGTGCTAGCCTGAAGAGAGAGCGCGAATGTTGGTGCTCTCATCGTGCGTCAGAGATGGAAGTGGCCGCTGCGCTTGGCAACCATCGTAAATTATTCCGTCTGAAATGAGAAACGGGCAGCAGGAGACCTGGTGTTAGTGAAACAATTTGTGACGAGAGTGGACAGCCTATCCACAATTCGTCAAAACGTTTGGAGCATTGGGCTGAGCATTTTGAAAAGCAATTTAATCGGCTAGAATTGTTCGATTCCTCGCCGACCAGTGATCGCCCTGCTCCGTGGGTTGTTCCTTTGGATCCACCCTCTCTCTCAGAAGTCGAACGTGAGATCGGACTGTTAAAGTTGAGCAAAGCTGCGGGACCAGATGATCTTCCTCTAGCCCTCTTCAAATTCGAGGGACCTGCTCTTGTTGATGCTTTAAATGAATTACTAATAAAACTGTGGGAGCAGGACAGTCCCAACCGACTGGAGCCGCTCCGTTATTGTTCCCATCTTCAAAGGAGGCTCGCGTTCGGAATGCGGTAACCATAGAGGAATCAGTCTGATCTCCATCGCCTCCAAATTACTCGCCTCCATAATCCTTCACAGACTGACTGGCGCTCGTGAAAGCCAGATTCGTGAGGAGCAAGCCAGATTTCGTCGTGGTCGTGTCTGCATCGACCACATTTTCACCTTGCGTCAGTTGTTGGAGCACCGTCACACATATTGGCGGCCCCCCGTAGTCATGTTCCTCGACATCAAAGGTGCCTTCGATTCGGTTGATTGATGTGCTCTTTGGAATTGTCTATTCAGAAAAGGTGTTCCCGAGAAATATGTAAATATTATCCGATCATTATACGCGCGTAGCACGGGCAGAGTGAGGGCTTACGGAAAGCTGTCTCCACCCTTCATTATCTCCAGCGGTGTGAGACAAGGATGCCCGTTGTCACCTTTCCTCTTCAACTTCGTTACCGACGAAGGCATTTAAAGGACATGACTTTGAAGGTGTGGAGCTACCCTCAGCGGAACTACTTCGTGACTTGTAGTGTGCAGACGACATTGCCCTCCTCTGTGACAGCTCCCAGACGTACCAAGCCGCGCTGGACAGATTAGCACTGGCTGTTCGTCACTTCCAGCTTTGCTTTGCATCATCGGAATGCAAAACATTCCTCCAAGATTGGCACGGATCACCTTCTGCACTGACCCTTGGTGGGGACCAGCTAGAAGTCGTTCGGAAATCCAAATACCTGGGAAGTTGTATCAGCGCCCTTGGCGAGATCACGAACCGTATAGCAAAAGCTCGAAGTGCTTTTGCTAACCTTCGCCACCTATGGCGGCGGCACGACATTATTCTCGCCCTGAAGGGTAGAGTGTACAATGCAGCGGTACGTTCGACCCTACTGTACGGTTGCGAAACCTGGCCCTTAAGATCAGCAGACATGAACAGGCTAGTTACGTTTGACCACCGGTGCCTTCGCAGTTTGGCTCACATCTGGTGGGAACACTGCGTG